CCCAGCGCTCCATTTAGCATAAACCTTAACGTATTTTCCGGCACAAAAACCAACAAAGCATCGTTATTTCATTTCAATTTCTGATGCTGGAAATAATTGGTGTAAGCGCCCCCTACCTCACTGCTGCTAATCGTCCAGGAAGGAGGGGGCAATTATGCAAGCCACGCTTCATACTGTTTGAGCACCAGGTGCACAGTGTTTGCAAGACCACATGTACAGATTTTGCTGACGTGTGACGGCAGATTTAGCTGCTGTTCGACGTGCCTTCTAAGAGGTACCAACTGTTTTGTCGTTTTGGTCACTGCAGTTATGAATTATGCTATGCAAACAGTGCTAGTGTCATCACCTTCCTTTCCGTGCGGAATGGATGCCGTTATTTTGCAACGTCTGACAGCCTCTCCAAATAACAGCATTTGTTCTAAGTCATTTTGATGCACAATCTTTAAGCGTGCTCTGCATTCTCTGCATGGCAAGGTGGTTTTCAATATTGCCGAGTTTCGATTGAGAAGCAGCTAATTTGAAGCTTGACGCTAAGCAGCTTTATTAAAAGAAAAAGGAGACCTTACAGTTGTTGAGATGGAGGCCTCCGTTTACACGGTTCATGATTCAGGGCCGCGAGTGGTGCCCTTCTTTTGTCAGGCATATGGTACCCTTCACAGCTACGTTTGCAGAATGCAATTTCGTTTCTTATGCACTTACTCTGCTAGCATAACTTGGTTAATAGTAGCGTTTGGCACATTTGCCACGTCAGAGTGATAAAGTCCATATTTCCAAAGAATTGATCCGTTACAACATAGTTATGCGTTCGTTTATTTCCTTAATCTTGGCGGCTTGCGAAATTGAGAAAAATGATTCATTTTCGAATTGTTTCAGGTGAATTCGCTCTGCCTCTATGATAGTCCAACTTTCAGAGGCACAACTTCTAACCGACTGAATTAATGATCTGGAAGGTTTCTGATACCTTGACATATTTTAGTAAAGGTTTGGTCATACAATCTTCTGTCATCTGTCAAGGTTTGAATATCATTGAATCTCAAGAGCGTTGACGCTTGTTGTTGATCATACCTGTTCGCTTTCAGGTGTGAATGGGAGTCATTTTTGATACATTGGTATTTCTCAGGCTGAATTGGAAGCCAAAACAGCATTTAAGACAAATATTGGTTTTTCTACCAGCTGTTGTAGATTCGCAGGGCATGTTGATACAAGAATATGGCGTATGCTTCTGATAGGCTGTCTCATTCTCTTCAAATTTCTCACATGGTGTCATAATGCTGCTCGACTGTGAAATTTATGCAAACTTGGTTTGTCAGTTTCATTGACTTCAGGCGTGCATACGATTTGCTACATTATCCAGTGATGCGGTACCTAAGAAGATCGATTCCATTTCAGAAAAGATATATGTAGGAACCATGTCTACTGTTAAAGTCGAAAGAGAGTTATGTGAGTGATTCGTCCTTTGCTTGGAGTTTACCAATGAATGCGGTATTCGCCTCAGTTATTCAAGAATGTTCTCGACTTTCTTCTCCGCAACTGTGCTGATCATGACAAAGACGGAGGCCTGCGTCAAGACGGAAGGCAAAGTTCATGATATTCAGCTAGACATGTTGTTTACCCGAAGTACACAGATGATTCTGTCCAGACAAGAAGTACGGGAAACGGGCTTTTCTATGCAACTCACGGTAAAGATGAACAAAAAGAAAGTCCTGAATTAATAGGCATTGCAGTGCACCTTGGGCCTCATACGGTCCCCGATCCGACAATTGAACGCGCGACCGAAAGGCTCGAAGTCTCTGAGTGGAATTATTACCCTGGCATCAGGAGGGCTGTGGACGTCTTTGAGATTTCGCCGCAGTTCTTCTTTCGTCTGGTATTCACACCAATTGTGGGCAAAGGAAAGAAAGAATATCTGCTCCATCGAGTACTGCTCCAGGCCTGCGATCCTTGACTCTTCGCCATGGACTTTGACGTAGTGCTGGTAGGCATAATAGGCGGCCTGCAGACCACCGATGTCCGCAATGTTCTCGTTCACTGTCCTTGTGCCGTTGACACACACATCGCTTGGAAAATAGCAGAATTCGTCGTACTGCTCTATCAGACACGATCGAACGTTATTGAAACCTCTCAGAGAATAATCGCTCATCCACCGGTGCAGGCTTCCATTGTAATAAAATTGTATGCCCTGAAAATCAAACAAACTTTCATGGTCGTTCATTTTCGAGATGCATTTATGCATGTTCGTACCTTGCCATCGAACGCGTGGACCAATTCATGGCCGATGATGCTTCCAAGCGCCCCGTAGTTTGTTGCCATTGGAAAATTGATTGCGAATAGTCCAGGGTTCATTAGCGCCATCGGAATCGTTAACGAATTGTACTGACTGGAATACCATGCATTGGCGGCGATAGGCGACCCGCCAAACTGGTGTCTGTTCGGTCGGTTAAAAAACAGGTCTATCTGTTGTTTCGCAAGGAATTCGTTCAGTGAAATTACATTTGTCATAAAGTTATTCTCTTGGACTATTTTCACCGATAATGCTTCATAATACTTCTCGAGGTCGGTATCAGACATCATCCATGCAGGAAACGCAACGTTTTTGACTATGTTGTCTATCTTCTTGTAGATGTTTTGCTTTGTCTCTTTGTCCATCCAGTAGGTTCTTTGAATTACAGTTTTGAATGCCGTGACGGTTGATGCTGCGAGGTCTCTGAAAAAAATGCTAACTTTAAAATCTTGATCAAAGCTTAACATAAGTGCATTTATAACATGACTATTGTTTCGTCAGCTCCGTGTGAAGTACAAAAAGAAGGCTAGTTTATTACTCTTCAAGAGGAATGGACAAGACAAGCCGCAGAAACTCAGATTATTTTTTTTGCCTCCAGTTGCATGCGTGGCGGTGTCTTTAATCTCCGTGCTTCTCGACCATTTGATATGGAGAAAAGTCGGATTTATAATAACTATTAATTAACTCAGCGCCAATTGTTTTCACCAGTCAGTGTTTCAGCGCGCAGATTTTGCCGTTGGACGAGAACGGAATAATCTGCCTCTAACATTTGATTGGTTGACTGACCGCGAACCAATAACGTTCCATCTTTACGTAACTTCTGATTGGTCAATTGACACATGACCAGGAAGAACTGTCCAATCCAGGTGACTCATGGGCCCTTTGATAGGAGCGAACACTATAAAATGACCAACTCCATGTACTGGATATATTAAGGACAAAGTGTGTATCCATTAATATGATTCCGTTCGCTATGGAACTATAGTCGAATTTCACATCTGCGGTGAGTTACCTGTCGATATGATTGTGGTTTTTCACCTCACAGTATCATCGAACACTTTTTGCATTAGCAGCTTTTCCAACTGAATTATGGCTCTTTTGTTGTTTGTTGATGTACAAATAATTCTGGTTGATTTTTGATAATCTCTTTCATGTTCCTTCAATCCAAATGTTTTATCAAATCTGTTATTGCGTACTATTTTTTACAAAATAAAGGTCAAAGTGCATAGTTTCATCGTCATATGCAGCATGATGAAAACGCACCCTTGTCCGTCATACAGTTGGAATGGATCTTTCTAAAAGATGAATGAACCTATGAATTAAGGAGAGAATGAATGAATGAATGAATAAGTGGAAGAAAGAAAAAACAAATGAATGAAAGA